AAATAGCCGGCAAAGTTGTGTGTTAAATCAAGAAGCGTTACGACCAAATATACTGATATATAATTATGTAAATAGGTCGCAACTGTATGCCGCCAACCAACACTTATTTCTCTTTCGATTTAGATAAAAGTCGAAGATTAATCCTTTAGAACAACATGATAACAAAATTGTTAGACTCACAGAGTTTTTCGAAGGTTTGGAAATCAGCAGTGGGACAAACATTCAGTGCAATAGTGTCGAAAATATGACCCCCGTTACATTATCTGCGGACCCCTTAGGAAACACATCCTTTTCGCTTATCCGACGAATTTCACTGCAAACTTTGAAAAACATTTACACTGGTTAGTTGGAGTTACGGCTTCAAACGTATGACAATGTGAAATCCGTAATTGTATGCAGCTTCAAAAATACAGGTGCAAACAATTCTACGATTTTCAATCGATCGAGGCCAGTGTTTTGGAGGTCATCAAGTCCCGAAAACTGCAACACTTACGTCGCTGTCATAAACATGAAGCATTCCAGGAAGTAAAACACAAACTGAATTTAATCAAGAGGTTATCAAGGTAAGAGAGTGAATTCCTCATATAGGTCCTCTAACTAAGGTAATCCCTCTTAAGTTATTTTTAGACATGGTACCCGGTTCTTCCGAGGATGCTACTCGCGGGATGCGAGGAAAACTAAAGCGACTTTCTCGAAACTACCGGAGACGAAATGGCGGGAAGGCCATTTTATATGTTTTGATTTCGTTTCATAGCAGAGACATTTTCTGCACTCTGAGCCGTCTTTTCGTTCGGCCGTGCTTTCGTTTGTTTTGTGCTCGTTTGGCTGTTCATTATTTGGCTGTTTATTCGGTTTTAGGGAGTTTTTGAGCAAACTTTAACGGCAACGGCAACGAGTACAATAGCTGTGTAAGCATACCTTATAATTTTTGTTCATTTCTATGCCTTTCGTCGTTTACAAAAGGTCACAAAAGAACAACGTGAAATAGCCATATTCTGCATATTTGAGAGAACGTGAATTATAAGACGGCCAATTTTTAAAATTTCTTTTTCGTATTCTGACGCTGTCTTACATATTCTGTTTGGGATATTTCTGACAGTATAAACAAACTGAATGAATCTAAACTCTCGCGGGATTCGTAGGTTGAATATTAAGTCGTTTTTTAATCGATGTTACCCTTGGCGTTGTTGCCGTTGCTGCTTAAACTGCTTTTGCTACTTTGGCAACGAACGTCTTCATGCACTTTTGACCATCTGTTTTTTCGGTTGCCAAGCTTAAGCTACTGTTTGGGCGTTTGTTTGCTTTACACTCGTTTGTCTACTCATTTCTCTGCCGTTCGTTCAGTTGTTATTAGGGAGCTTAAGCAAACCACGACGGCAACGGTAACGAAAACGCCGTCAAACAAAAGGTTTAATGACCAAAACAATAGCTGTGCACGTGCGTTATAAACCTTTGTACGTTTCTTTGCCGTCCTCTGCAAGACAACAACGTGAAATGACCAAGTTTTGGGTATTTTGAAGAACGTGAGCCACGACGGCTGATTTTTCGTATTTTCTTCTAGAATTATTCGCCGACGCTACATCTTTAGTTTAAGTAGGGTTTTAGACCGCTCGGCTTGCAGAACAGTTCGAGACAATGGCGAAATTCAAAGGTAAAATTTAAGCCCATTTTTTTTCCACCGTCGTCTTTGGCTTTGGCTTTTGCTTAAGCTCCATATTGTTTGTGCAGGGGACATCCGTCTTCTATTTAAACTCCTATTAAAGTTTCGAAATGTATTAAAACATACCAAGAGCCGAAACTCCCTTGCTTGTAGTCAAAATATCAAAGTCAAAATGTCAGACACAGCAGCGTTAGAGGTTTTCGTTTGCTTTGAAACGAAATGAAACAAAACATAAACATATCCTCCACGAAAACATTCACGCAACGCGCCAGTAATATTCGCGGAAGAACAGGGTACAATGTCTAAAAATAACTTAAGAGGGATTACCTTAGTTAGAGGACCTATATGGGAGATTCACTCTCTTACCTTGATAATCTCTTGATTTAATAGAAGAATCATACCTTGACAAAATACATTCTCGCTAAGGACAAATGTAAACGGGCTATAAACAAGCGTGGGAGTCTTATGTTCAGGTGACGAAATTACCATCCAAAGTTGTCCTTTTTTTCCCTGCTTTTCGTTTGCCTGCTCCTCCACTTCGTACCCAGCTCTCCATTCCTAATATACAAAGAGCTCGTCTGCAAAGAAGTCTTCCCCGTCATCGCTTGAAATATTGCAAATTTTTCTCAAAGCTCTAAGCAGTGAGTTCACAGTTGTCGACCGTGCTCGATCAAAGTTTATTTCGGTGTCTTCCGAATCGAAACGTAACTCTGACTCCAGTGGCGAAAAAGAAATGATTCTGAAACAAAACTTGAACGTTTTAGTCCCAAAATATGTTGGAACGATTAGTTTTGTTATCCGTTTTCTCGAGCAAATACAGAGAGCTGACTGAGGCGCCATTGTGTTTGGTTCCTGGGTAGACATAATCAGCAACCGCCACCCCAGACTCCCTAAAACGCGGTTGTGCAACACTTCAGGCGCGACTTTCAAAAGGCACAGAAAATCGCAGCTTCAACCAAATTCAAAACCTTTTCACCCAAATGCTTCGAATAACAATTGGATTTGTTTTAGTGAAAAAAAAAAAAACAAAAAAAAAAAATAGTATTTTGTTGTTGTTGTTTTCCACGCTCGCAGAGTCTTCGAAACCGGATGATTAAGTATTAGACTTCTAAGTTTCACGAGGCACTAAGGGCACGAGCACGACTGAGATGATAACTACATTAAGGAAACCAAACACTGATACGTTTTTTGTTGTTGTTTGTGACGCTCGCAGAGTCTTCGATACCGGAAGATTAAGTATCAGACTTGCAAGTTACACGAGGCAGGAGGAGCACGATTCACACGTGTGCAATGCAATGGAACCTGTTCTGTGGGTACTAAAGAACAACTAACAAAATATTGAGCTTCCGTTAGACCAAGTGACACCCCTTTTGCCAGTCGCTAAGTAGTGTGGCTTAAAACAAAGGTGATAGGTTAGTTAATCCATATTATAATAAAGATAGGACCCCGCGCGCGCTCTGATTGATCAAAAACCCTCGTTTTATCATAGTTTATAAAATAACTGAGATACTACGCACGGTCTGATTGGTCAGTAGAGTTGCTAAACCTATGTTCTATTGTACCAGTAAACCACGGTTTCCGATATATGGCAGCTCTACGCGGCAACTAGAGAACTCGGAACTCTAGCGATAACAAATGTAATATACAGTTTTGCCTTTCAGTGGCTGGGATAACAATAACACGAACATCTTTTCATTCAACATATACATGGAAATTTGGCAGGAAAAAAGGACCAGAAGTTGATCGTCATATAAAGCTTTATCTTTTTTTTTTTTTTTTTTTTTTTCCCGGCAAAAATTTTACGCCGACACTGGTTTCGCTTGAGATTAAAATTAAGGAAATTTTAACACCTTTTTTCGGTGCTTTCCACGGTCTGTGGAGGACGAAGTCAGCGGGGCTTGACTGATCAATTTGGGTTATCAAAAAAGCAGGGAATTGATTTCCTTCTATCAGAAATTTTGAGCTTAAACTCAATGCATACATGCATAACACGATAAATGAATTTCGTCTCCATAAGCTTAGCTTTCAAGCAATAGTTTTCATTTAGCAAAGTACAGAGAAACACAGACGTCATAGCTTTCAGCATAAGTAAATAAATTCTGAAAAAAAAATCGGATGCAGCGTTTCGGTAACTAACCTTTATTCCATCCGCAAAACTGTACTTTGAAAAGTTATCGTTAAAACACTGCGTTGAATCACTTCGCCAGGCACATGAGGTTTGGACTACTTGCACACTATTCGTAAAGCCCTATACTTTCGTGATGACCGATTTCACCTAGGAATCCCTGCATTTTCCCTTCAGAATACTTTTGAGTTAATTCATATACTTTTTGCCTTTCACGGATAACCTTTTCCTTTCTTTTGCTAAAATTTTCTTAGCGTGAAATGTTTTCATCGCTTTGCTCTGCGGATTTAGTGTCCGGCGCGGAGTCTGTGTTTATATTCCTTCAGTCGCTATGATTGGTTTGTCGCATCATCTCATGAATTTGATGACAATAAGCAACTTGATCACAAGGTTAACATAAATTTTCCTCTCGATGAAAGACTTTTTCCATAGTTATTTCATAAAAGCGATAGACCACTCTTTCTATGAGTTTACCGGCGCAATAAACCACACTGGGATGTTAAGAGAACGCTCGAAAAGCTCGTGAATCAAGGCAAATTTAGAAGCTTTTCTCGTGTTCTCCCAACTTCCCGCGTGGTTTATTGCGCTAGAAAACTCATTGCAAGAGTGCTCTATTGCTTAAATAAAACATACAAAAGACGTGTTTTATTGTTTTGCGCGGGTAAAATCTGTGCCATGAGGCAAATGAAGAAGCCTAAGCCGTGTATTACACTGTGGTAAAACACTCCGGGCATTTGAGAACACTCGAGAAATGTAGAAAAAAACTCGCCTACGGTTCGTGTTTTCTACATTTCCCTCGTATTCTCAAATGCCAGTCGTGTTTTATCACAGTGTAATACACGGCTTCGGCTTCTTTACTTGTTAAACAAACGAATAGGAGCCCATTTGCGACGTAGTCGTTGGATTAACTGGTGTGGTAAATTTGCTGATTCTTTTTCCTTAACGTTGTTTTCTTTCTTGCGCGTGTGGAAACAACGAATATTATAACTAAGAAGGGCCGGTAAAGATGACACAGATACCTTTTTCTGGTTCTTTAGCTTTGGTCTACTTGTTGTTAACCAGCTAAGTTTAGTCTCGATGGAGATGTGCTACAAATTTGATATGCTCCAAATTTGATATGCTCTTATTTCAGGCTAAGAAATTCTTAAAATAGCGGTACCTGCCATCTGCGAGTCTTAATACTGATCAAGTTTTTGAATAAAAGTTACAATTTACCTGTGTATCGTCGGTATTGTAGAAGTTCCAGCCTTTTTCAAGATCAGTTAGTTTCACTGTGATCATTCTGTTGTCTTTGTACATTTTGAAGGGCTTCTCCCTCGCTGGCTTCGAGTCAGGAAACCGTTTCTTTTCTGCCAACTCCACGCACTTGTGAAAAGGAAGATACATACACGAGTAATTGACGAAGATGTTAAAGTGAGACCAAATAAGTATATACCCATAAACTATCCTCACACGCACACACACACACACACGCACACATACACACACACAAGAATTCACGCAATTCGCTTTAGTGTTTTACCTTGCTCCAAACTGATTTACTTACTTTGTTCATACCTAACTGACAGTCACATCGATTTTCAAGGCCTCGATCCATCCATCCACATAAAATATCCTCTTACAGAAAAAAAGGAACCTTCCAGCAGTTCACTCTAGTGTTGAACCATGATTTAAATTGAATTTACTTATTTTTTGTCAGGAATAACAATCCCGCCCCTTTTCTGTGGATGTTTGCGGGTAACGAACACGCACTTGGCGCGTTTGTGCGATACTACAGATACGATATACTGAGGAAGGTAACTAATTCATCATATTGTAATTTAAATAACGCTGGTATATTGCAAAATAGGCACAATATGGCTTTTTTATGAGGTTTTCTTCATATCGTAGGTGTCGACATTTTCCAGATTTAGTTGAATTTCTCGAATTTTCCGCCACGACTCCAGTAGCTTTACTTCTTAGAGCGCGCTTTTAAAAATAAGAAAATTTGTATCTCGACATACCGCAGCATTTTCCACGAAAACAGCGATAGCATTTGTATTTTAGCTTCGTAATATTCAAGCGAAAGTGGAGGAATAATTGCACAACTGTCGTTACACATGAGGCGTCCTTTTTGAAAAGAAAAATATACTGCGTCACTGACAACGAAACGTAGAGTGCCGCATCCATTCGAATCAAGGACTGACNAACTGTCGTTACACATGAGGCGTCCTTTTTGAAAAGAAAAATATACTGCGTCACTGACAACGAAACGTAGAGTGCCGCATCCATTCGAATCAAGGACTGACCGGTACAGAAATGGAAAAATTATGCGTCAAATGCTTTTGCCTCTTAGCTTTATTTAGCGTCACGCACAATACTTTGAATTTCTGAAAAATTTGACGGGGTTGTGCGGCCCGCTTCCCAAAGCAATTACTCTATTTAAGACCAAAGTCTGCGATTTTTCTAACCTATTTATGGCCCGACCCTTAAATTAATACCCTGTTTCAGACCTGCCGTAGTTTTCAAGTTCAGAATGATGTTAAAGGTATTGTGAATGGCTTTAGTTGCTGGTCTTATCGATAATGATGAAAAAATTAGCTTCTTCTCAAAAAAAAAACATACCTAATTCAAAACTACAGTGCAAAACCCACACCCAGTTTGAGCCTAAGATGACCAAAATTGATACTCTACCTCTGACTAAAATGTCTTAAAAACACGTCCCTCTGACGCTGGTCATACCTATATAGCCAATATAAGGGAGCACCCGCCCACCCCCAGGGCAGAGTCAAAGTGAAGTATCACAAGTAAATACATTTCGAAGCGCGTTGACTGTAATAACTGATACACGTGTGGTCAACTTAAATCAATTAGCCCTTTCTCTTTTACACTAGGTTCAGCAATAAACCTCACCTGGACCAAAAAAAACCCAGGCTCTGGCAACTGAGCAGATCAGTGCGGTGCATTAGCACATATCCCCCTCACCCCAGGACTTCTCATGCATAAGATATCAAAACCCTGGTCTTTCTCAGACTTTGTATACCTTTCCCGAATCGAGACACTATTTCTTTCTGAGAAATAGCTTCTTGTTGGATCTGCAGCTGAAACCAACGGTGCATGCAAAAGCCTGAAAATAAAAGCCATTTCTACAGACGCCTCGGATCAATAGTACAGTAGATTTCCACCCATCCATAAATCCTTTCATTTCTCTGCATCTCCAAAGATTTATGCATTGATGGAGCTATTCATGTATGCAGGTGAACCTGAACGGTTCGACTGATTCACAAAGGCAGACGTCATGCATATTTTAGCACTATGTCTTCATTCCTGTCGCTCATTTGATCACTTACCTTCTTAGAATCCTGCCTATCACTGTAGACGTAGAATCGTAAGTAAATAAGGTCACTTCTGGGATCCGGTTTGTTGGCATAAACTGTCGCTATTTTTCTACTTGGCCCGCCACAGGCAATTATGCCCCTGGGAGAAAAAAATTTAGTTTTCCTGTCGATAGCATCCTCTTCAACAGGGCAGATGGCCTGAGACTGACTTACTCCCTCCGATTCGTTGGAAATTCTCTTCCCGTCTGAACCACCTGTATAAATAGTAGCATTTGCGTTTTTTTATTTTAACAGCTACAAGTTTAGTTGACCTGGATATGGCCATGTTTATACCTATGTCTATGCTTAACCCTTATCCTTATCACGCCCGTGACCATGTCCGTGCCCGTGCTCGTTCCGCTGCTCGTGCCTGTACCCGTACCCGTGCCCGTGTCCTTGTCGCTGTGAGTACTTGGCAAAAAAATACGTGAGTTAATATTAGGGGCCAGCGAGAATTTCGCTCGCGCACCGTACTTGAGCGCCCTGTGTGAACAAAACCTTAAGCTTCGTTGACATCTGGTGCCCAAGCTTGGTATATTATTACAATTCTTACTGGCCACCATCGTAAACACACCATTTTTCCAAGTTAAAGTATTCACACCAGAATTTGAGCTCAGTGCCTGCGCACAGGTATAAGGTCCTTGTACTCAGGCACTAAATGTTACTTAGGCACTTGCAGTAGCGGCTCTCTGAACGTAACATTTTTTTGTTCCTGTGCCCAGGCACCAGAGCTCGAGTATTAAGTCAGAACACTGCTTTAGATTTTTGCAGTGTACCCTGAAAATATTTAGAGCTTTGTGCAATCGACGACAAAGTGGACTCCAAGAGAGGCATAACCTCTCATGTTTAATTATACGTCTACCTTAAAGAAAGAAAACTAAGGTGTAAAAGAAAGCAACTACCGTTACCTTGAGCAAAAAGCTTTCCACCAGTACAAGTGAATGCGGCCTCCAGTTTTTTGCTGCATTTTGGAAATGACGTGGGAGGGCGATTGCGTAGAGGTTCGTTGCTACAATTTGGTGAGTCCAGCTCATTTAACTCGTTTTCAATCTGAGAAAAAAAAACAAAAATAGTAATTTTTGTCATATCACACTAATTATATCTCATATTTATACCTTTCTTTTTTACTTATATCAAATTAGATCGCGATTTGATTAGAAACCAAATATTACCAGTGTTTGAAACCAAATGACGCAAGACAGCTAGACGAGAGCAGGTTACGTTGAGCCTATTTTCAAATGTTCAAAATCCGTTGTGGTACACGGCTTTTTCCAAAACGACTTGTCTAGTCTGAAAACGCGGTTTTCTTTTTTTAAATTAGTGAATTAAATTTTTTGTGCAAATAAAATCTGGAACACTGAGCCAGCGAATTAAATGGAGATCTAGTTCCTGAAACGCGACCTTTGACCTTAGAGTAACGAGAGAGAACAAAAAAAGTCTCGTTAGTTTGAAACATTTTCCACCGATATCTCCCCGAAACGGTCATATTGCAAGAAAATATTTTGAAACATGGTCAACGAAGGAGCTCAACGTTACATTTTGACACAATGACTTGTTTGCTGATAGCCGGGTTCATTGGATGTTCTCGAATTCCTTGGGAGGGGAGAGGAGGGAAGATCATTCAACTCCCCATCTCTGCATATAACATCATTTTCAAAAAGTACCAGGTATGTAAAATTGGTATATTGCTTAGAGTAGAATTTGTAGTTAGCCTTATTTTCTCCTAGCAAGGATCAGTCAAGAGAAAAAAGAAAAATAAAGGGAGTTCCTAGAAAACTATTTCTCTACAATCTATACCTCTGACTGAGTGTCAGGGACACCATTGGGACGCAAAACGTTTTGGGTAGGAATTATCAGATCTTACATTTGCATTATCCAGTGTTTGACAGTGACCCCCGGGGTCAATGTGGGGTTTACTAAAGCCAGCGTCAGGTTGTTGTTTGGCCTGCGGTGATACCAGGACTTTCATTCCAAGTTCGTCGTCTGGAAGGCTCCTTGGTTGCCGATATGCCACATTGTCGAATCCCATGCTTTCCTCCGCGTCGATGTTCCTCGTTCGAGCACTGGAGTTCAACCGTCTTCTAACAATACAAAACAAAATATAATATCCATTGACATTTGCGAGGAAAACAACTGATGAGTTCTCGAGAAATCATATATAGCTGTTCATGACGAGAACTTTAATGTGAATTACTGCAGTTTTGTTTATCAGATTATTGTTTTCAGTTGCCGTATGTTTCTGTAAGGGCTATTTCACTAAAAAAGAATTCAGTCTCGATTTTGTTAACGAGGACAACCCTCGAAAACATATCATAAAGGTTTTAAAAGCGATAAAGCGATGCTTAATAAAGTATAGTAATAGTAACAGTATATCTTTATTGCGCCTTACTCTCCAAAGGCTCTACCAGTAGTTACAACAGAGGTTTGAACATGAACTAATAAAAATACAGAATAACATTTACCACATCCGTACAGAGTGGTGTTTAATAAAGTTTTGAATGATTGATTGACCTACTGACGGGCTGCCAGCCTTCCTGCCTGACTGACTGACAGACTGACTGACAGACTGACTGACTGACTGACTGACTGACTGACTGACTGACTGACTAACTGACTAACTGACTGACCGTTTGACTGACTGGCTAACTGACTGACTGACTGACTGACTAGCTGACTGACTGAATAACTGACTGACTGACTGACAGCCTGCATGCCTACCTGACTTCCTGCGTAACTGACTGACTGATCCATTGATTAATTGATCCCGTTTGGAACCCTTCTAAGGGCCGAATCGCACTAGAGCTAGGCATTTCAAATGTCCCGCGGCGAACTCCATAGAATTTGGTCGAAGTTTGTCCTCTGACAAGTTGACTGTTGTCCACGCGCAATCGCATTAGCGTTTTGTTTACAGTTGACAAATTCGAAATGTTACATTTCGTTGAACTCGTGACCTTCTCAGTACTCGGCGGGAAAACATATTTCATAACAACAAAATGATCCCAAGACGTTTTCTGCTTTTTGTAGCTGCAGCATTTGTCCTACAATTTCAGATGTATGCTCAGCTGAGGATGATGCTGATAATTTTGTCTCAAAGTTGCTAAAATTCAAATAGAGGGGGAGCTTTTCTGAGGCTGTATGAGATTCGAAGGCGAAGACGAAATCGGCGTAGGTATCCATAGCTTTAGGTTCTCCCTCGACCCGCAAATTCATGGTTCGATATTCATTGTAATGACGCAAGAATCCCAGACGAATATTTTAGGAAACAGCTACGGATGAGAAGAACTACTTTCCCTTTGCTTTTTAACCCTTTGAATACCAACTACGCATATATACGTAGTTAATGGTCGTGCTCTTTGTACCACTTGTGACGTCATCAATTTAAATGTCATCAGATATTCTTGATAAGCAGGTAGTAGTTCTAGACTAGGCGTTTCCGCACAATGGTCAGGTTTAGATATCGACGACATGCCGACGTCGCAAATCGAAAAACAACGTTATCAGTTTTGGTGCAAAAACGGTGGTAAAATGGTCCATTACGCCTATGATTGATCAAGGTCCATTTCTAGGCTTCGCCCGTAATTAACATCCAGCTTTTCACGGCAGCCAGAAAGAACATGCAATGCAAAAGGTAGCCAGTGTAAAAGGGCCGAGAAAAACAGAAAGGAAAGGGGCAACAAACAAAATTGAGAACGGTTAATGGCAAAAAAAGTCCAAATTTTGGCTTATGCGCATGCCCGGAATTGAAGTTTTGCTAAATTTTGTACCTAATCCTCGAAAAATCTCTCCTTTTAGTAAAGAAAAAAGCTTTTTTTTTTTAGCAAAACTTAGGCCTATTTAGCGTCATTGCAGCTAAAAAACCTGACTAAACGGTTAAAAACGGTATTTTTTGGCGAACGTTTGGTATTCAAAGAGTCAATGTCCTTCGCCCATACATCACAAGACAAAACACTTGGCAATCGCACTCGCGCTTAGCTCGTGGAGGAGCGTACATTTCAGTTGGGCCTGGTTTTAATGTTGCGACAACAACAGTAGTCGAGGCCGTCGAAGACGTCGTTACAGGACTGATTTATATAAAAATGATTATATCAAATTCCCAGAAACTGAAGCTCAAGTTGTTGAAACGAGGGAAACTTTCGAACAGCTTTCCGATCTTCCAAATGTGGCTGGTGCACACATGTTACGATCAAAGCTCCTGATGACAGCAGAGTCGAATACTTCAGTCGATTCCAGCGCTACCATATAATTATCTAAGCCGTGGCTGATGGCAAGAAAAGACTCCTTGATGCAGCAGCTGGTTTTCCAGGATCCTTGCATGATACACGCCTCCCACCGGAACAGTCGCCTTTACAGACTATTCGAGAACCAAAAATTATTGACTGGTCGTACTATGAATGTCCTCGGCCGAGAGATTGGTCAATATTTAGTGCCCGATAGCGCTTATTTTTTAGCTCTCTGGTTACAAAAAGTCTACCCTGAAGGAACGCAAGATCCAGACGAAATTGCATTTAATGAGGAACTTTATTCGGCCAGAGTTTCCATGGAGTGCGCTTTTGGAATTCTCAAAAGTCGGCGTATTTTCACGAAGCAAATCGAAAGCGGAGTTGGTTCTGTGAGTGATACAGTTGTAGCATGTCCCGTTTTACACAATGTATGCATTAATGCTGGCGATAAATGGGAATGGGATGATGGCGACGACGACGGAAGAAATTATAATGATAGAAACGTTTTAGGGGATGGCGACGATATCAGAGAACTACTAAAAGGGTACATTGCCATCTGATTTTACTTATCATTTATTTTCACCTAATCACATATTGTTACAATCTTCGTTTTGTTCATGTTTTCTTGATAATATAAACTTCGTAAAAGAAATGCAACGAAAACTGGGAAACTCTGTTAACTGGGATATAGCATTGCTTTGAACTGCTACGCGATAAATGTAAATAGGTTATCAATACCACAAGCGGTTCTCTCGCAGTTCTTTACGGTTAATGTTCAACATAAACGGAATAAAATGTTTTAATTGCTTACTTTCTCTCATGGCCTTGGCCAGGTCCCCGTGGAAGATTGGAACTACAACTTGATAAATACAAATAGGTGGTCTATACCGCAAGCGCTTTCATAGTAAATGTTTAAAAACAGGACCTTTAATTTTTATCTCTGGCCTTGGTCAGGGCCGCGAGGAAGCCATTCATGGCCTGAGTTTGCTCTCGCTGCATTTCTTGCATTTGCTCTACAGCATTTGCCAATCTTTCACCCTGGCGCTTCACCATCTCGGTGAATCTAGTAAAATCCTGGGCATCGTCGTTCTCCAGCCTTATCTTGCACCCTTTCCCCTTTGCTTTTCCCTTTCTCCTCACGCTCCTATTCTTGACTTTGATTCCCATCGCTCGAAGGGCTTCCTATGTCTGATCTGTGGTGTATCCTTCCTCCTCGTCACCAGCAGGACAGTCACGCAACTAATCCCTCTTTCTCTCGGCTGCAGTTGCAGTTTCCCGAACGTGCTACAGAGTAACAACATCTCTTTCTCCGAGCACGCGGTCAAGGACATCAAAATGTTCGCAGGTATCGTTATTCCTCCCGTCTGCGATCGATTCCAGTCTTTGGCCCCTTTGTACTTTTTTTTAACTGCTTAATTTTTCGCTCGCACAGACTTGGAAGGCGCGCGAGGTTGAAATGCTCGTTTACTTTAGAGAAGATTTCGGTCCACACTTAGCAAATAGCTCGGAGGATTGCAAAAGGGAAAGCTGTTTGGGTCCGACATCTTGCAAACTAAAGAACGGCGCGCGAAAACCTAAAGGTCATGTTCTAATGAACATAAGTACGGGAATTAACCCTGCGACTCGTCATTTTTGACATTTTAATTACAACAAAAACACCAGCCATTGTATTTTTGGTTGTTTGGCCCCATTTGTCCTGCCTCGGAGCAGGACATCGGAGCCTTTGAAGTTTGGCTGTCCTCTGAAATGTTTGAAATTTTGATATTTCTAGCTCTAGAGCGATTCGCCAATAATTGGGAGAAAAAACTGTTATCTAAACAGTATAGAAATATTCGTAATTTCTAATGGCTTAATCAGGTGAATCTCTTGAGGCCCGCATTTAAAAACTGGGGAAATACGAGTCCCATACTCCTATATTGTGGAAATGATGTGGGAAGGTGGTTGTAGAGAGTTTTGTTGTTGCAGTTTGATGCAAATTCAGCAGGACTCTTCTCGGCATAAAATCATGATGGAGTCTGCACATAAACTCCGCTTTGCTATGCTATACCACGCTAGACTATGCTATACTACGCTCTGTTACGCTATGCTACGCTCTGCCATACCATGCTACGCTACGCTACGTTATGTTACGCTACCCTACGCTACGAAACGTTACACTACGCGATGCCATGCTACGATATGTTACGCTTTCCTATGCTATGCTATGCTATGCTATGCTACGCTCTGTTACGTTATGCTATACTATGCTAAACTATGCTACGCTATGCTATGCTATGCAAAGTTATGCTAGGCTATGCTAAGCTACGCTATGCTACCCTATGATACGCTATGCAACGACATGCTACGCTATGCTAGGCTACACTATGTTATGTTATACTATGCTCTGTTACGCTAAGCTACGCTATGTTACGGTATGCTACCCTATGCTACGCTATACTACGCTACGCTATGCTATGCCATGCTATGCTATGCTATGCTATGCTAAACTACGTTCTGTTACGCTATGCTACGCTAAGCTATGCTATGCTATGCTATGTTAAGCTATGCTATGCTATGTTAAACTACGTTCTGTTACGCTATGCTAAGCTTCGCTATGCTATGCTACGCTATCCTACGCTCTGTTGCGCTAAGCAAGGCTATGCTACGGTATGCTAGCTATGCTACCATATACTACGCTAGGCTAGGCCACGCTATGCTATGCTATGCTATACTATGCTACGCTACGCTGTGCTACGGTATGCTGTCCTAAGCTATGCTATATTACGCTCTGTTACGCTATGCTATGCTATCCTATGCTATGCTACATTACGCTCAGTAAAGCTATGCTACGCTACGCCACGCTACGCCTAGCTAAGCACGAC